CTCTCTCTCTCTCTCTCTCTCTCTCTCTCTCTCTCTCTCTCTCTCTCCCTCCCTCCCTCTCCCTCTCTCTGTTGTTGTTTTGAGGTAAAGAGAATCTAGGACAAATTGGGGGAAGAAAAAGCATATGTACAAATTTAAAAAAAATAGAAATTCTCAAGAATAAATAAAAGCACAAAAAACATTTTGGAATTTTTTTTCTATGAGTATAGTTAGTACATTAGTTGTAGATGTAAGTGGTGTCAATATATTTGTTATAAGATATCACAAAGATGAAAATTAACTATCTGCTATTGTAACTTGTGTGTGGTTGCTCTGTGTGTGTGGTATGTATACATGTGTGCTAGCATGTCTCATGTGTGGGTGCATGTGTGCGTAGACACATGTCAAGGCCAGAAGTTGAAGTCAGATATTTCCTTGATCACTGTCCCCATTATTCACTTTGGTAGCTTCTCCAGCTAAAGCCAGATCTTGCTGGTTCGACATGTCTAGCTAGCCAGCTTTCCCCATACCTCGTCTCTCCCTTTCAAGCACTGGGGTTACAGGCATAGGCCACCATTCCCACTGCTCTTATACAGATACTGGGGATCCAAAGCCCTATTCTCATGCTTATAACAGAAGATGTTTGTCCACTGAACCTTCTTTCTGGCCTTGAGGTTGCTTTCCTAGGTATTCAATCACAGCAACAGAAAAAGCAAAGAATAAAACTACTAACTGCACTGTAGATTGTTTTAGATCTAATTAAAGTAAATTGTTAAATGAGTGTCTTTAAATGATATTTTTGCTCTTTTATTTATTTTTAACTTTATTTTTTATTTTTTGTACTATAATTATGTTATTTCCCCTTCCCTTTCCTCACTCTAAGCCCTGTTCTCTTTCAAATTCATGGTGGCTTTTTCTTAAATTGTAGTTATACATATTCACAAGGGCTTGGGTTCACATCTTTAGTTCCATGAATCGGGGAAAACCCTAATAGCTAACGTTGGCTTTACTTATTTTTCACTTTGAATAGCAGCTCTCTAGTAGCCCAGGCTGGCCTTAGACCCACTATGGAAGCCAGGCTGTCTTCAACTTTATAGTCTTGCCTTGGTTTCTCGAGTGCTGGGCTGATAGGTCCTGGCAGGTATGCCTGGTACTGTGCTGCATCTTGACCATGACTTCGAATACTGGTTGAACAATGTTAACAACAGCTGACTTCTTGTGTGTCAGGTGAGATCCTAAGCATTTTACTTCGGTGTTTTATCTTCAGAACATTTCTATGTGCAAAATATTATCTCATCATAGAAAACAGCTTATGTAATTTTCCTATAATTATTCAGCTCTCAGATGTATCTAGCCATTGAGCTGGAGTAGTCACAAATCTAATCTTCTAGTTGTTACAAATATAATTGGAAAATAAATGAATTACAATTTTTAACCAATGAAACTTCTTTTTGAAGCTATCTTCTTTTTGTATCACTCACAGAGATCCAAACAGTTTTATTTTTACCAAAAGACATAGCTATACTTTTCTGATCTGAGAGAAGTGCTAGAGTCCTGTGGTCACACACTTAGTAAGCTCCAAGTTTCTCAGACATTCTCAGGCATCATGAGAATCTGTCTCCTTTGGTCCTATATCCACCCATTTTCCTGATAATTCAGGCCTCAATATAGAATGTGGTATCATGTCGTGGACAAAAAGAAAAAAAAAAAAGAGTCTGCACTTATCTACAAGAAGAGAAGAAGACACCGAGACCCACTGCTCGTCTCCCTTAGGTTTAACTGTGCAATGACTCACACATGAACAATTGTCCTGGAGGATACAGTCTTCCTAAATGTAGCAGTTTCAAGGCTGCAAGGATGTCTCTCTTCTCTAAATGTATTTTCATATTTAGTACAAGAATCTAGTGCCCAGTTCATGGAGTTTTATCTCCAAACTGTTCTTGTTTTGCTTTGCTTTCTAGTTTAGCTAAAGGATATTTACATGCATGTAAGTAAAATGTTGAATCAATACTCAATAAACAGCAATGCTGTCTGAAAGTGTTTTAGTCAGGGTTTTACTGATGTGAACAGACACCATGACCAAGGCAACTCCTTATAAGGACAACATTTAATTGGGGGTGTCTAACAGGTTCAGAGGTTCACTCCATTATCATCAAGGTGGGAACATGGCAGCATCCAGGTACACATGGGGGAGGAGCTGAGAGTTCTACATCTTGTTCCAAAGGCAAATGGAAAGACTGCTATCTTCCAGGCAGCTAGGACGAAGATCTCAAAGCCCAACCCAATAGTGACACACTTCCTCCAACAAGGCCACACCTATTCCAACAATGCCACACCTCTGAATAGTGCCACTCCCTTGGGCAAGCATACTGAAACCATCACAGAAAGAATTTTTCTTTGTGATTTAAAAAGTCATTTTACAGTCTGGTATATATAGGGATTTTAATACTTTAGTCAGCATTTCAGTGTGGAAAAAATGACTAAAACAGAACAAAACAAAAAACCAGCACAACAATTATGAGTGTATTAAACTAGAGACAGAAGTAACAACGAAATGCAATGTAGCTACATTGAGAGCGTGTCAACAAAATGTTTTTCAAGTTCTCTTAATTTGCTTTTTCAATTTACTTGTTATTTATTTTAACTATGGAAGAGCTGAAAATGTGTGCAGTGCTTGTAGAGCCAGAAGGTACCATATCCCCTAGGGCTGGAGTCACACGCAGATGTGAGCCATCTGATGTGGGCAGGTACTCAGAGCCAAGTCTATGAAAGAGCAGCAATAGCAAGCTTCTCAAATGAGCTCATTCCTAGATCAGCTCTTTAAATCAAAAAAAAAGTTTTGAAATTATATAATATTTAATTTAGAAATTCTCCATTATGAAACCAAAATCATGTAACAGTGTCTGACAATATGGAGGAATTGGTACAAACCACTTTCCAATGAAACAGAGAAACAAATCAGAATATACATATATAAACAATACATGTAAATAAGAAAGCATTTTCTTGGTTCATTTAATTTAATGCTCTAACTTCATGCTGAAGTATATACATTAGGAGCTTCGGTTGAAAGAAGAGAGAATTGATGTATAGTGTGGTCAAGTGATTGCCTAAGGTCACAAGGGTGTCTGGGTGGCTTCCCTCATTGCAGCATTCTGATGTTTACATAGCAACTGAATGATAAGAGAACACTTGGAGATAAGGCCCAAGGAAAATGTATCACTCACTGATGGTGCTGACGATAGCTCATTCCTAAAAATACTACTAAATCCAAATAAAATTAAATTTTCAGCAGACATCAAGATGTGGGAGAGGAGTGAACGTGGTGGCTAAGGGTCTGTGAATGACAGAGCAGACAGAGACTGAGGCTATTTAAAAGAGAAGCAACCTGTGAGGACAAACACAAATTGGCTGAGTCACCTATCCTAACACCTAAAGGAACTCTTGAGATTAGGGGATGGTGGGGTGGAGGGGTGAGGTGGAGGATGTGGGAAGACATAATTCCAACGGCTCCTTGCTTTTCCAACTCTAGCAAGCACTGGATACAACCGCATCTGCACAGGCTCAAATGGAACTTCTGAGACCCTGATATTCTTGCACATATCCCATTTGTGAAATCTTTTATTCACAATTGTATTCTAAAGGACATAGTAAGTGATAGTTAAGATAAACATGAAAAATCACCCATGCTAAAGATAGTCAGGGTTACTGTTGCTGGGATGAAATATCATCATCAAATCAAGATGGAAAGGAAAGGGTTGATTCTGCTTACACTTCCACACTGTACTGTATCATTGAAAGAAGGCAGGGAAGGAACTCAAACAGGGCAGGAATCTGGAGGCAGGAATTGATGCAGAGGCCAGGAGTGGTGCTGCTTAGTGCCTTGCTCTTCCTGGCTTGTTTGGCCTGCTTTCTTAGGGAACTCAGTACCACCAGGCCAGGGGTGGCCCACCCACAATAGGCTGAGTCTTCCCTTATAAGTCACTAAGTAATAAAATGTTCTACAGGCCTTCCTGCAGCCTGGTTTTCTCGATTAAGATCCCCTTTTCTTTGATGACTCGAGCTTGTGTGAAGCTAACATTAAACTAGCCATCACAATAACTTGGGTGGATTTGTATAGATGTATGTACAGAAGGAGCTGGAGGATCAGAGCCTTGGGTGAGCAAAGGGAACAGCTGTCAGGGAAGGGAAGGGGTTGAAATTCATTGTGCTTCATGTATTTCCAAGTGTAACACTAATAGATTCTGTTCTCACACTCTTCGTGAACAAGGCATGGTCTCATGTTAAACAGGAAGAAACCAAGGTGGAGTAATTTACTCCAGAGCATCTATTCATTCCAAAAGTAAACAACAAAGTCAGAACACAAACTCATTCCTGTGCTGCTCTGAGGTGCACACTTTTTGCACTACTGTCTTATGTGTACCTTATAAGGAGAAAGAGCCTCTAAGTCTAAAGACACGTTTCTAACATGCAGAGAGGCTAGCATAAAGGTGCTGGTTAGTATAGACGGGTCATGTAGGTCAGGATGTGGCTGTCCTTCTTGTGTGAGTGTAACCAACAGAAGGCATATTTGTATATTTCCTATTGATATTCAAGTCCCAGTAAGTGGGATTTTTTTTAAACCACCTTCATGATTCGCAATAAATTTTACAACACTGTCTTTCTTAATTTCAAGGTGAATAGGTGACAACTTTAAAAAAAATTAAAAAAAATGGTTAGTATTCATGCCCTTCAAAGTAATTAGGAACTTTCACAAGTGATTGGAATAAAACAATTATTGTCATTGATCAGCTCTGAACAGATAATTTTAAACAAAGTCATTGTGTGCTCAGCAGATTACAGCTTGTTAACTGGCAAGTTCTAAATGACCTCTTAAGCTCGTCAGATCAGTGATGCATACTCCTCATTAAGTAACACCACATTGTAAGTGGTCTTATAAATAATGTTTATTTTAAGCACTGAAACAAATGGCAAAACCCTGATATATCAAAAGGCATCTGCTCACAGAACAGAGTTTCTTCCACTGTGTTTATCTTTATTCCCCCAAATCCATAGTAATCTGAATGTCAATAGAAGAGAAACAACAGTCTTTTTTCCTAAAATAAAAGTGAAGGAAGCCTGGAGAGCAAGCCCGCTGACAGTGTCCTGCCCAGGGTGAAGGCCCCTGTGTACATCCTGAAAATATGGTGGCATGCCTTCATCCTCAGCTCTTATCTTTGCTTTCTCTGTGAATTGACTTAAGTGCTTTGCATATGTAACTGTAGTAACAGGAAGAGGGCAGAGACACTCACTGGCATGGGGACAGAAGCATCATGAGGTATACACTTACCGTTGTGGACAGGGTCCCTTCCTATCTTCATACCAATATTCAAGTTTGGGGAACCTTTGTTTCTGTGACTGAGACCCATGCTCTTCATTCTGTAACCACAGAACTGTAATCCCCAGCCTAAGAGACCTTCAGTATCCTCTGTCTAACAAAAGTTTTACCACTGTGTCTCCTTCAAATCACCAAAATCATTATTGTAAATCACCCTTACTACATGGCACAGTAAATATGAATAGAATCATAAGTAGTCTACAGAACTGAGATGCAGCTTTATGTATATGTATTTGGCTACTTTTTAGTAGAGTCACTATATGAATTTTTCTTACACTCTTTATGTTTTAGACATGAAAGAAGCAAAGGAAATGATAATTGGATATTGTGATTTACATTAATTTATAGCTGTAAAGGTAAGTGAGTCACTAAAGTTATAGCACTTTGCAAATCAGTTTTAAGTCATTTTTAGTGTTCATCTTGCTGTTCTGGATTTATTTTCCATAAAGCCTGCACTTCAGTCTGAACTGAAGTGATTAGGGTGCTAAAATCAAGACAAATCACTCAAAATAAGAGTCCTCTGGCCCCCTCCCAGCACCAGTGGCTTTACAATGGAATGACACCTGATTGACAAGTGTTCCAGGACAAAAGGGACTCTCCAGGAACCAATCAATTACATTTCTAGTCCAGTCCATCCCTGCCCCAGTGCCTACTCAGGGATTTAAAGATTTTAAATATCCCCAGCAAAAGCAAAAGTAATTTCTTTTAACAAGGGTGCTCACTCCTTAGTGATGTAGAGACAAATTGCTTAAGTCAAAGGACTTCCATACACAGGGAAGAGGAGACAATTCTGACGATCACCCTGAGATATCTATGTAACAACTTCTCTAAGTCAAGCACTGGGAAGTGAAGGCTAAAGAGACTGTCATGGGCCCCAGGGGACTTCCAACATCGCTATGGTGGGGCTGGCATGGAAATCAGTAAGGATAATAAGGTGTTATCTGTTCTAGTAGAAAAATATGTCTATGGTGAGGTAGAGACATAAAAGGCCAGAGAGTGATGGTCTCTACAGGGAGAGGGAGTCATAAATCCCGCAGAAAAAAAGATGGACCCCTTAAAAACACAGCAGTCAGGGGGTGGGTATCTATTGTATAAACAGAACTGCGTTCATGGACTTTGTCCCTCATTACCAAAGTATGGACACTTATTTAGTACTGGCTGTGAATAAGTCTTTACAACTGCTCAGCTCCATGAGCCTCTGCCTATGGAATGATGTTTGTCCCATTAGCAAAGTTTTTAACAGACTACCTAAGAGAAACCCCACTGCTCACTGTGATCAGCTAATCTTAAAATTCAGTCTTTGTTAGAGGATCATTTACAGCCTCTACACACGTCAGCCTTGTCATACTCTGTGACAAAGTTACCTCTTCAAGAGCCTGTGAACTTGTAAAGGTGCGTGCATGCACACTTGTTAATGTTAATATTGGTATGTGCTGGTGGGCACTCACATGGTAGTCAGAAGCAGAAGTGGGTCTTCATCAATCTTTCTCCAGCCAGCTTTTTTTTTTTTGAGGTAAGGTCTCTCCGTGAACCCAAAGCTCATCAATTTGCCTATGCTGGCTGCCTAATGAACTTTAGGGACCAGCATGTCTCTACCCTGCCAGCTCTGGGAAAGTACCACCACCACGCTCAGCATTTTACAGGAGTTCTGGGGATCAGAATTCAATTCCTCATGCTTGCAAGTCAAACAGTTACCATTGAAGCTATATTGCCAGCCCAAAAGCCATGTGTCTATCAGAAAATTAGCACATAAAATGAACACAGACATGATAGCAAAAAATTCCTTGCTGGAAACAAACGTTATTATTGTTAAATCATATGAATAACTTTCAAATGCATTAGATGAGGTAGGACTCTTAGATCTCAGAGCCATGTTCATGTATTTATCATGATATGTCCATATCGTGACGTATGAACACTGATGCATTACTTCATTAATGCTTACGGTCTTCCTTTAGCTATGGCTCAGAGGTCCCCGACACTGTGAAGTGCAGGCATTTATAACCACACGGTTTACGGTTTACATTTTCCTCTCTTGGCAGTGCTGCCAGGGATTTAGCATAGCTAACTTTTTAACTAGTGTTCCTCCCCCTCCTCCAGTAGCATAGCAACCAGATTTGCATTACTCTGCTTTGCTCGGCTTATTAAAAGGGAATTCAGGGCACAATTGACTTTTCATCTGTTTAACAAGTGAAGAAATATTTACCCTGACAGCCATTTCATTGTAGAGATTCATCTTCATAGTATAATATGCTGCCTGTGAATCAAGAAAAAAAGAAAAGACGGCATAGATTTCAGTTACAGAAAGACAGTGCAGCCTATTTTTACATATAAAGGATAAGAATCTTTATACATAATACATAATAAGAGTTCTGGGCTTAGAAAATGAAATCAAACTTTGTATTGAAGAGATAGGCTTCCTAATACATAATGCAAGCTTAACCAGAAAAATCTATGGTAGTCAAACTCAGAGCTAATGGAGATATATGATCATAAAATGCTCTCCGCTGAGTTTGATAATCAATGGTGCTCTACTGAGAATAGAATAACAAAGCAGAAATATTCACAAGTGCTGGTGACACGTCGTATTGTATGATTTATTCACTGGGGTTCTTTTAGCCAAAACTCACAGGAACATAAAAGGAATTCATATTTCAAGACGTCGGGTTTAATGAAAAATTCAAAGAAATGCTGTCTTCAGTCGAAACCATTCAAGGATACGGATGCAGTGATGGGGCAAAATTGTGCCTTCCAACCAACTATGTGAGAAGCTATGTGCTTAGCTGCCTCCCGAGTCAGCCTTGGGAATTTTGTTTCATTTAGTATTCATTTTACCTCCATAAAATCACAAATATAATGATACCACGTTCCAGCAAATCCCTTGGTAGAGGGAAGGTTTCCTAAACTCTTGGTTTCCAAGAAAGACACTCATCTATTAATGCCCCGATCTATGTTCAATAAGGAAGCATTTAACAGTGCTTCTAATTCTAATAAAAGTATTGTGTTGAGTTAAATTTACCTATCTGCTCTGTCTTTTAATTAAAAATAAAAAGTCACAGAGCTCACCATGGCAAAATCATCAGTAAAAGCATTCACATATGTATTTTCTCAATGTGATATTCTTTACAGAAAACACACACACACACACACACACACAGAGAGAGAGAGAGAGAGAGAGAGAGAGAGAGAGAGAGAGTGTTAGTTTACTCTGGAGCTAAATATGATTGACGATAGATCAGGAACCTCAAATTTTATTCCATGTTTCTACACAGTAACACGGTAGCACAGTTTTAATAACAGTTTTAATAGAGAACAAGGAAAGTCAGGGCACAACCCACTGGTACATCCAGCATGGAGGAGGGTCACAGCAAAGCAGGGAAATACTAGCTTTGGCCTCAGATCTTCTGATGAATTCTTAGCCGTTGGCTGGTAGAAGCCAGAGGCTTTTTAATCCACTCTGAAAGGTTTATATGCTAGTCAGAAGAATGTTAGGTCAGACACAGAGGTGGGCAAAGAATGAGTAAGAAATCTGAAGCTGTCAAGGCAAATTGTAACTGTGATCTGGACCTGCAATGGTCTAACTCTCCACAGGCACTGACTTTCTGATCAGCTCATTGCCTTTCAGAACAGCCAGTGTAAGTGTGTGGCCCTTCCCAAGAGCTTTCCTTTATAAAAATACAACCGCATGCATTTTTATCCAATCAAAAGTCACGCAGGTAAGAGAACTCCACCCTAGCTTATGAGTGCTAAGCTTTCTGGGAAGAAAAATAGGACAGAAAAACTCAACCCTCTACATGGCCACTTCTTCCTCATAATGGACAAGAATCTGTACATCTAACTAGCTTGTGGGAGTCGCCTAGTCTGATCCAGAGCAAATTGTGGAGAGCCACAGGGATGTGTGATTCAGCAACAGTCTGTGTAATTAAAAAACAGAGGATTGCAATATGTTATTTACATTACTGCCTTTACCATCTCTGTCTTCCTTACACCAAATGTGGCATAATTCCTGTTATTGAGGTGAATTAAAGTACTTACTTTCATATTGTATTTATTTATTCAAGTCAGGCTGAAGCTGGCACTGCCAGAAAGATGGCTCACAGCTGTGAGGAGCCCATACGACTCTTCCAGAAGACCTGAGTTCCGTAGTTCCCAGCCTCCACAACAGCTCTAATTCCAGGTCAAGGCAAACATCCCTCATCTGTCCTGTGCAGATTCTCGTGCACACACACCCATATACACACGTATACACATAATTAAAGATAAAATATTGTTTAAATGTGAATGCATTTCAAATGATTTAAATTGTACATTTTATTACATGTAACACTCAAATATTATTTGAACTATGCACATCTATGTGCAATCTCAGAGACGTAGGTACACATGTCATATTTTCCTGTCACTCAATTTCGTCTTTTTCTAGTCTGAACAATGCTTTATTTTGTTATATTAATGTTTCCATGTAGTTGGATAAACAGAGAATATGGTAGCAACTCATAAGTGAAACTAAAAAAAAACTATTGCCATTTATCAGCAAACAGAATTTTTACTTTTTTTTTTTTTTTTACTATTTACCCGTCTTTTATCCCTTTCTTATAGAGACCCTGAGTACATTTTAAATAGGAAGGTAACATATGTGGTAATACTAAGTATAGGGAAAGTACCTTGTTTCACTATAATGCAAATAAGGTGCCTACTCACTGATGCCAAAATGGAATGGATAAAAAAAAAAATGGGAAAAAGAAGGTGAAGAAGATTGATACCTTGTGTGCACGGCAGAGTAAGAATCCTTGAGGTCAACAGAGTACGAATATCTGAAGTCAGAGGCTATAATATGATCAATGACAACCTCCTATGGTCTTTGCCAAAACCACTTGGGCCAATTTTTAGAATATTCTTCAGATGAAAATGTACTTATTTATCTGATAAATATTTTTCTGATATGGCTAATACTCATGTGGAATTTCTAATTTGGCAAAATTTGACCAAAGTGGTCCTGTTTGTGGTTTATAAGAGCCATCCTTTCTGATCTGCTGGCCACTGGTTCTGTTCAGTAAAAGACCATACTGTGGGCATTGGGAGACTGGATACAAGCTGCCTCTAAGAAGCCTTTGAGCCCTTAGCTCACACAGTGGCTATGCTCCTGTATTTTGCTTGGAAGACTTGAGTCCCTTTCTACATCCACCCTTTCTGGTTATCCTCTGAGCATACTCAGGCTGTTTTCTCTGTGAACTGTAATGTTCATACTCATTTCTTATTTTTACTCCATGCAGATACCCTCATCACAGTGACATGTACAAAGTAATATTTTTATTAAGTCCTTTGAAATAAAAAAAAAGACCTTCACAAATTCCTAGTTGTGTAACATGAAAACTTTAACAGTAATGAACAACTTGAATGTATTATCTCCAGGAGTGAGTGTGATGAAATTCTAAGCCAAAGCATGTAGCACACAACTGTTTCATTTCTCCAGTAGAATAATGATTGCTGGCAAGAATGTGTCTATATCGCTTTGTCTCTCTGCTTCTCTGTATCTCTTTCTTACACTTTCCTTCTCTCTCTATGAAGTAATTTATAATGAGGAGTCAGATAAATGAGAACAACTCTCATATTGGGAAAGTCTAACAAAGTTCAAAATTTTTAAGTTATATTTTAATATATGGTTTGTTTCTTTAGTAAACTATAAAGTAATGTTTTCTACATATGTGCTATTATCTCTATGTTATTGCCCTACCTCAACTCTTTGTTGCTTCCCCTCCCCCTCCCTCTTCTGTTCTATCAAGTCTACTCCTTTCCCAGCTTCCTTCTGGGTGATGATGCCATGATAAAAAACAAAACAAAACAAAACAAAACAAAACAAAAGATAGTCAAACAAAACAAAGCAAAGCAAACCTGTTCTGCCTCCTGACTCAAGGTTCTCATCTCCTGAGGACTGCTATTGTGCCAAGCCTTTGACCATAACCTATGCAGTACAGGTCACTCGATGGATGAGCTCACACTGCCAGGCCACCTCAGTCTAGCTCCAATCTCCTCTGAAATCCACATGTCAGCCTCCTCCATTTTACTCCTTGAAAGACAAGTGTCTACTAGAAGGCTTTTCCGTTGGGTGGGTCAGATCTCTACTCTTCTTTGGGTTTGGCTTACATCTTTTATGCACAGTCACAGTGGGGCAGGAACAAACCCTATGTTAGCTCATCTTTCCTTTCTTGTTAAGCATTTTGAAAGAAATTAAGAAGAGAGAGATGAGAGTTAAGGAATAAATGTCCAACTCATTCAGAAGCATCATGTTTGACATAACAGCACCCTCACGTTCATGTGTGGCCAGCACTTACCAAAGCTCAGGGAGCATGGAGGATTTAGAAGCCCTCCACACAGAGGCTGCAGCTTGCAGCTTTGTTTTCCATGCTGCTGCCACTCTGAGTGCGTGACTGATCGTTGCAATGACTTCCTATTAGATAATCATTTGTGCATGTTTTGCCTTGTTTTCAGGCAAACCATCTCACTGTGGTTGGCAGCACTGATTTCTAAAATAACCTCTTTTTTGACATAAAAACTAAATCCAGCTCTATTCTTCCTCATAGTTGTCATTAGTATAACGTTTAGGAGCAGGTGAACCAATGAATTTACTTCATGATTGCGATGAAAATCATCAGAATTTTACATGAATAACTTAGAATTTTAAGTCAGCTCATGTTTGTTGTCTATTTTGAAGTGCAAGACTGTGAAGAGAAAGAATTGACACATCTTGCTCTTTTCTCGAACACTAAAAGTGAGGAACGCTCACTACATTGCAACAGATTTGGAAATCCCAGGAAGAGAAAAGCCAAGAGAGTGGGATATTTCCCATCTATAGAAGAAGCCTTTGTCTAATGCAAACTTAAAAGTCTCTAGAAGCTGTTATGTCAGTTTCTTATTAGTTTAAAATTAGTGGCACATTTATATAGTCTTTTTCTATAATAAGAACAAATCAGCACTTATCATAAAAACATACAGTGGAATGTGAGAGTTGATTTTTTTTACACTGTTTAAAGTCATGTAAAGTTCCTTTCTTTATTATTCAGTTAAATGTTCTATCAAATATCAATCCTTTGTAAGAAATGTAGAATGGTTTATTACTTAACACTGTGAGCTTTGAATCTCCAGCTATGTAGTAAATAATTTTGTAGATTGAACAATAATGTTTTAAAATCAAATTACATTTACCAGTAAAACAGTTCTACCATGAAGCTATGAATGCATGTCACTGACTGGATGATT